CGTCCGCTCCGCGAGCGTCACGTGCAGGGTCGCTTGGAGAACTACATTTCCCAGCTTACCTCGCCGCGAAGAGAGCCAGTCGAGCGCGGAGGCTCGCCCGCGACACCTCCTGGGAACTGTAGTTTATGCAGTACTGCTTTTTAAAAAACGTAGAGTTTCAAGGTTTTCCAACTCCTTCAACTTTCGGAATCTTATTTTAAAACAATTCCGGAATAGAAAAGATTCTTAAGAGGGGTTTATTCGACATGATCTCACCTGCCTAAATCTGTCCTCAGATAGGCTTCTCATTATCTTTAAAGGTTTTCTGGAGCAAAGATTAAAAATTATTCTACACATTCCATAAATTATTCCACTAATAAAAGCTCAAGCCTCATCCCCCGTGCTCCAAGTAAAGTCCATTTCCTATTCTTTCACTTAGGTACACAAACCCAGGATCTTGTGGACATGATAAAAGCCAACTCTTCTTACATTTCCCTCCTGACCCCAAAATCCTATCAGTCAAGTTCAGGGACACTTGATCACGAGATCGACCCTTACAAAAGCCCACGCTGTTCATGTAAGTTATTAACATTTAGTAACTAGCCACAGCAGTAAAGATAGACAGAAAACAAGAGGCAGTTTGTCATTTTCGCTTCCACAGTCCCCAGTCTAGCTGCGCTATTCATATATCATCTGAGTTGGAAGCTAATTGGAGTGCACTGGGCACCCTCCTCTGTTTGTTGCTTCTGTTTGTTGCTCATGAATAACAAACTCTAGTTTTGCAAACAATTTTAATTTTTCAGCCTGCGACTTTTTTGACCCGCCTGCCATTTAGGTAAGAGTTAAGGGGATAATGATCTTCATGGCAAGGAAACTAAGCCCCATTTCCCATGCCTTTCTCAGGAATGGCAGAGAAAGCAGCCGGGCCATGGGAAAAGAGCCCTGCCCAGGTTTCCTGACAGAGAGGCTGCCACTTTCTTTTGTGAAGAAGGAACATCAGCATGGCTCACAAGTTACTTAGCTCAAAATGTTTGTTACCCAGGGAGGGGAGGTCAGGCTGGGCTACTCATATTCCGGGATGTCTCAGACCTCTTTCCAATGGTCTTTTCTCAATCCTCATTGGCTTTGACATAGTTGACCACTCTTTGAAATTTGTTTCTCGCGTGGCTTCGTGACACTGTTCTTTCTCGTTTACGCTCTATTTTTCTGATGATCGTCTTTTTCCTTCATGGTTTCTTTCCATCCCATCACCCCCTAAGTATTTCCTTAGGCTTAATTCTAGGTCCCTGAGCTGATTGTCCTTTAAACTCTTTATTTAGTAAATTGCAGTTGGCCTCAAATATCTGAGTCTTGACTTTATCTCTTTTTTTCTTTTTAGTATATTTTTATTGATTTCAGAGAGAGGAAGGAAGAGGGAGAGAGAGAGAAACACCAATGATGAGAAAGTCCTTGATCAGCTGCCTCCTGTACGCCCTCTACTGGGGGTTGAGCCCAAAATCCAGGCATGTGCCTTGACCAGGAATTGAACCCCGATCTCCTGGATCATAGGTCGATGCTCAACCACTGAGCCATGCCAGCCAAGCTTTATTTATATCTTTATTGCCGATCAATTTGTTCAACTGCCATAAAGGTACATCTGCTTGGAAGTCCTTCCACAACCTTTTTCTCACTACAACCCCACAAAAACAGCTCCTTTTCTCAGCTTCCCTATTTCTGTCACTGGCCTCATCTTCCCTTCACTCAGACTTCAGACCTCAAGCATTTTTTAAAAATTTATTTTATTGTAGGAGGAACACTAAACATAAGATTTACACTCTTAACAAATTTTGAAGTGTGCAATATAATACAGAAAGAAACATTTTTCTTTAAAAAATTCTCACCCGAGGAAATTTTTTCCATTGCTTTTCAGAGAGAGTGGGGGGGGGGGAGAGACATCGATGTGAGAGAGACACATTGATTGGCTGCCTCCTGCACACACCTGGACCAGGACTGGGGATCAAACTCGAAACAAAGGTATGTGCCCTTGACCAGAATCGAGGCTCTAACCACTGAGCAAGAACGGTTAAGGCAGAAAGATACAAATTTTAAAGTGTGCAATATGGGTACAATGTTGTATAGCAGTTCTCCAGGCTTTACTCATTTTGTTTAACTGAAACACAGCTCTTAACAACCACTATTCCACTCTTTGATTCTATAAATTTGACTATTTTATTTATTTATTTTTCAAGTTATAAGGGAAAGTTTATTTAGAAAGTTACATAGGTAATAAAAGTGAGCCATAGAAGAAACAGGTTAAGGAAACAAGTTATAGAGAGAAAAGAAGAGCTCTTGGAGCTTAGGAGAGAGGTTGGCAAAGGTGATTCCCCTGGGGAAGAGGACAGGAGGAAGGGAAAGGCCCCGGGGTGCCACAGAGAGGGGAGTGTGCCAAATTTGACTATCTTAGATGCCTCATCTAAGTGGAATCATGTAGTAGTTGTCTTTTTGTGACTTGGTTGTTTCACTAGGCACAATGTCCTTAAGGTTCACCCATGTTATTGCTTATTGCATATTTTTTCCTTTCTATAGGCTGAGTAATACTCCATGCATGCATGTACCACTTTTCTTTATCTGTTGATGGACATTTAGGTTGTTTCCATTTATTGGCTGCTGTAAATAGTGCTAACTTGGGAGTGCTGAGATCTCTTAGAGATCTGATTTCAATTTCCTTGGTTAAATACCCAGAAGTGGGATTGCTAGGTCATAAGGTAGTTTTATTTTGAATTTTCTGAGGGACTTCCGTACTGTTTTTCATAATGGTGACACCATTTTGAATTCCCACCAACAGTGTGCAAAGGTTCCAATTTCTCCACATCCTCGCCAACACTTGTAATCTTTGCTTTTTTGAAAATAGCTATCCTGACAGGTGTGAAGTAATATCTCATTGTGGTTTTGATTTGTATTTTCCTAACGATTAGTAACGCTGAATATTTTTTCATATACCTGTTGGCCATTTGTATGTCTTCTTCAGAGATGATTATTCAAGTCCTTAGCCAATTTTTTGCTTGTTTGTTTGTTTTTAAGAGTATACGTATTTTATTTACCTATTTATTTATTAATCATTTAAAAAATTTCAATTACAGTTTACATACATTATTATGTTAGTTTCAGGTGTACACTCCAGTGATTAGACATTAACTTAACCAACTTTCAAATTATGTTAGTTTTTTGTTTTTTTGTTTTTTTCTATTGCAAAAATAGAGAGCTGTTAATATTTCCTTTTACACACATCTCTTTATAGGCTCCCCCTTTTATTTTTAAAATTTTTATTTTATTTTATTTTATTATTATTTTATTTTATTTTATAGACCTTTATTGATTTCAGAGAGAGGAAGGGAGAGGGAGAGAGAGAAACATCAATGGTAAGAGTCACTGATTGGCTGCCTCTGCACTCCCCGACTGGGGATCGAACCCGCAACCCGGGCATGTGCCCTGACCCGGAATCAAACCCTGATCTCCTGGACCCCAGGTCGATGCTCAATTGCTGAGCCATGCCCGGCAGGGCAACTGTCCTTATTTTTTTGCCATTTCTGTTTTCTAGTTTTAGGGTTTAAAATTTTATTTTTTTTAAAATTTTCGAAGCCAGACATTTTCCTGGGAGCTTATATTCGGTTACTGTAATAGAATACAGTATCGTGCAGTAAACAGTACTATACTGTGCTTTACTCAGCTTCTGAATTTTAGCTGAAGAAGAGCGAACTCGAGGAGACTGTCAGCTGGCTGATCTCAGGGCTGGCGGTGTTGCCTGTAATTAGGTTGCAAAAATATCATCAGAGATAGGCTGGCACCAGGGAGGCCTGTTTTCAAATGTCCACTGGAATATACTATGTCAGTAGACAATTAACATTTTGCAGTAATTGGTGTCCCCTGAACAAAACTAAGATAACAGGCCCCGTGTTTCTGATCATTTCAGGAATGTTTTTGTGTTCTCTATTTAGGGGCTCCTTGGGCAGCTGTTCCATCCGGCTTCCTGCGTGGTGGGAAAGCCTGGGCTGCGAGAAATCGGGTGTGAACATAGGCCCTTGGGCAAGACAGATGACTCCTCTGAGCCTCAGTTTCTCCCTCATAAAATGGGGATAATATCTACTTTGCAATTATTAGAGATACTTCTGAAGTTGTAAATGAGGCTATTATTTAAAAGTATACTGTACAGTGTAACATACTGTATATTAAAACATTATACAAATAATCAGCATGCAATTGTCCTCTTTCCATTAACCCTTAATAGACTTGTTATTATATTGCTGCTTTGAAGAGTTAGTACTAGAGCCCAGGCTTGTTATAAAACGCGATTTCTTAATTGTTCTCACCACAAAAAGGAGGGAGAGTAAACATGTAGAGTAATGGATGTGTTCATTGACTCGGAGGAATCCTTTCACGATGTGTAACAAATCATCGCCTTATACACTTTAAATATGTTATAGTTTTGTCAATTATATCTCAATAAAGCTGGAAAAAAGTCTGATTTCTGAGATGGATAGTACTCAGCATTCAGTAAACTCTATATACTCGTCGCATCCTATGGGGATGTGTCCTGGGCCCAGTGGATCCAGCATTACCTTTGGAGTCAGACAGCCCTGCACGAGGCTTCATTGTGACTCTGCTTTGTCACAAACAAGTGTGTCTGCCTCATAAGGTCTGGTGTTGTCTCCTCTGTTCTCCAAACTCATCACCTGGAACTATTTGTAGTCCCCAAAAGAACCAGGCTTACTTTCCCACTTTCTAGCTCTTCCCGGCTTCCTCCAAGACTTCCCTGATCCTCAAGACTTGGCTAAGATGTCCTTTCCATCTGCGTGCTCCTGTAGCCACCCTTGATTTACACTTACGGTCAGTGTGCCAACATTGCCCAGTCAATGCCTCCCTCCCCCTCCCTTTAATATTGACTAGTATTTTGGGGTTTAGTATGTGCTGGGCAGTGCCTAGTGCTTTATGTGCATGATCTCATTGAATTCTATTAATCCAAGGAAATAAGTTTTACTACAGATGAGGAAACTAAAGCTCAGAGAGGGTAAATAACTTGCCCAAGCTCACACAAACACAAGCAGAAGAGCTGGAATTTGAACTAAGGCCTGACTCCAAACCCTTTGCAGTCAATTGTAAATTTTCTAAGGGCTTATAGTGAAGGCATATAGTAAGTATTCAACAAGTAACAGCCATTATTATTTTGATCCAAGCAGGCTGTAAGCCTCTGCAGGGATGGAATGTTAACCCCTTGGCACAGTATGCCAACTGAGGCCAAGTCAGTGAGTGGAGAGCAAGGCCACTGCATTGGCTTCCAGCCTATGCCCCAGAGCACCATTGGTAAATGATTGATGTGTTTTCTATCATACATCTCTGTCTTTAAGAGATGTTTCTTCAAAAGAAAAAATAAACATATGGGACTACATCAAACTAAAGAGCTTCTGCACAGCAAAAGAAAACAGCCTCAAAATACAAAGGAACCCCATAGTCTGGGAAAACATATTTGCCAAGAATGTATCTGATAAGGTGCTAATTTCCAAAGTGTACAAAGAACTCATACTACTCAGCAAGAGGAAGACAAACAACCCAATTAAGAAATGGGCAAAGGACCTGAATAGCCACGTCTCCAAAGAGGACATACAGATGGTCAAGAGACACAAGAGAAAATGCTCAATGTCGCTAATCATCAGAGATGCAAATTAAAACCACAATGAGGTGTCACTTCACACCTGTCAGAATGGCTCCATCAACGAAACAAATGACATGTGCTGGCGAGGGTGTGGAGAAAGGGGAGCCCTAGCACACTGCTGGTGGGAATGCAGACTGGTGCAGCCACTGTGGGAAACAGTATGGAGGTTCTTCAAAAAATTAAAGATGGAGCTGCCTTTTGACCCAGTGACCCCACTTCCAGGAATATATCCTAAGAATCCTGAAACACTCATCAGAAAGAATATATGCACCCCTATGTTCATAGCAGCGCAGTTTACAATAACTAAGATCTGGAAACAGCCCAAGTGCCCATCTGTAGATGAGTGGATAAAAAAGCTGTGGGACATTTACACCAAGGACTACTATGCCGCTGTAAAGAAGGAGGATCTCGTACCCTTTGGGACAGTAATGGAAGGACCTGGAGAATATTATGCTAAGTGAAATAAGCCAGGCAGAGAAA